TTAGAGACAGGCTCTTGCTGAGTTGTTTAGGACCCTGCTAAATTGCTGGGGATGGCTTTGGACTTTCAGTCTTCCTGCCTCAGCCTCCTGAGCCTTACTTTTAAATACACAGCTGTTTATCCTCCACATCATTGTCAACATAAACCTCAATTAATTACTGAGCACTGAAATAAAGTGTAAAGTGTGTAATTTTTTAAAAATCAAACATTTACATAAACTTTTTTTTTTTTTTTTTACATCTCTTGATTTCTAAAATATTCTTCATTCTTTCATTGTTCTACTCTGTATTTGTATGAAGATTGACGTGGCTGGGTGTGGTTTGCATGCTTGTAATCCCAGCACTTCAGGAGGCTGAGGCAGGAGGATTACAGATTTGGGGCCAGCCTCAGCAATTTAGAAAGACTTGTAAGCCTCCTGCAAGACATTGTCTCAAAACAAAAAATAAAAAAGCCTGGGAATGTCATTCAGTGGTTAAGTGCCCCTGGGTTCAATTCACAGTATCAAAAAAAGAAAAAGTTGGCCTGTCTGAATATTACCTGTTCTTTTACCAACACCTATGATAGTGATGTTTGTTAAATATATGTTCAAATAAGTCTGTTGTATATATTTATGTACTTTTTAAGTAATTGACAAAATTTTTATTGTGGATTGAGCAGACAAGTACAGGACCATATATATTCTTGTATGGTTTTCACCATCCTTAGATAGCAACTGAGATCAGACTCGTAAAGAACAGGACACAACTTAGATTTTCTTATAAACGAACAAGTATTCTAGATAATAGAGAAACCAACAATTGCTTAACTGGTTTTAATAACATGGCACAAAACACCTAAACTTGATATATGCAAAATATATAGATGATGCTGTCTTTTTTAAAAATATAAAATAAACAAGATGTAAGAATAGGCGAGTTTCCATTAAGGAAAAGTTTAAAAAGATAAGTTTTCCTTTCCATCTCATTTGAAGAAGGGAAATCATCATTTAAAAAAATTCAAGTTTATTAAACAAATTTTTATAAGTATTATAAAATGTTTAACTTTCATCAGCTTCAGAGTTTATTTTGCTGCCAAATTTTACACATAATTGAACTTCCAAGTCTGCCAACATCTGCTGAATTGCTTCCACTCTGGATTCCAAGGCGTCAGTTTCTTCTTGGAGATTTTCTTTGCTTCCTCTAACATTTCTTGTGTTTCTTCTTGAGAATGGCTGACGAAAACTTCGCCAGTTTGCGGAAGTATCTTTAAGTGGTCATCGTGATGTCATCACAAGCATCTTCTAGATTTTGGAGTTCTTTTTTTACTTCTCTTTCTTCCTTTAGCTCTGTGATTCTACTCATGTTCTGTGACAATTTGTCGATTTTGTTGATCTTCCAAAGTAACATTGACATCTTTCACAACACATCTTCTTTATGCCATCTTGGGACTGCCCCAGAACCATTTTTAGATCAGGTTCTACTTGCCATTGACCTTTGGCCCCACATGAGTCCAGTCGTCCTTCCCGCAGCAGAGTCTCAGCTCTGCCCTGCTGCTCTTCCGGCCCTGTGTGAGGGTCAGTGGACATCTTGGTTCTTCTTGCTAACTGAGCCCTGGAGCTGACTCTGGCCTCTTCCTGGTTCCACATCTCTCCATTTGTTAGAAATGGCATCAGGTTGGAATTGTGTGAGTGAACACGGTTTCTCTCTCACCTGCTGTAGACGGTTACCTCCAGAAGCCCGAGAAGAAGTGTGCAGACAAGTTCTGCTCGGATTCCAGCTCTGACTGTGGAAGCTCCTCGGGCAGCGTCCGTGCCAGCCGGGGCAGCTGGGGCAGCTGGAGTAGCAGCGGCAGCTCCGATGGTGACAGGAAGCCCGTGGTGGACCCCCAGCACTTCCTGCCAGCTGGTGAGTCCCAGGAGGAGGCTAGTGCCCCAGAGTGGCCTTCTGTCTGCCCTCTGGTGGGTCCAGCACAGGGTCTGGCTCTGCCTTGCAGAAGACAGAGGACAGCGGGGACTTTAGTCTTGGCTTTGTTCTGATCTTCATTCCCTTTTATTTTCTTTCCTGCCCTCTCCCTCCTCATTTCCCTCCAAACCATCATCACGACTTGTTCTCTGTCTTTGAAGCAGGTCACAGAGCTGTGCATTTGTATATTCTTGTTTATTGTGGCAAAACCTGTGTAATGCAGAGTTCATCACTGTGACCAGTTTGTGTTGATTTCCTGGTGCTGGGACGAACCCAGGCCTTTTACGTGCTGACAAGTGCTCTGCCACTGAGCCACCTCCCAGCCTTTATGCCATTTTCAAGTGTAAAGTGCGGTGACATTATGTTTGTTCCCATGGTTGTGTGGCCACCCCCGTCCCCATCTGCAGGACTTCTCATTCAGCCGCTCCTGTTCCTCCTCCTTGTAGCCCCCATTACTCTCTTCTACTGTCTGTCCCTGTGAACTTGACTCTTCTAGGTACCTCGAGTGAGTGGGGTCCTACAGCGTCACTGTCTCTTTGTGACTGGGTTACTTCAGTCAGCATGGGTCCTCAAGGCTCATTCGTGTTGGAGCATGAGTCAGGATTTCCTTCCTTCCTAAGGCTTAATGTTCTACCCTGTGTGTGTGTACACCATATTTTCCACCATTGGTAACTTGAATGACAACACAGTTCTAGAGAATACTTTCTTGAATCCACTTCCCGTGTTACGTGTCAGTTATGTATGTAATATTTTGTTCAGTTGAACATTTAGTAGAAGTAACTTTTGCAGCAGAATTTCTGCCAATTTCATAATGGATTTAAATGTTTTCAAATGCTCTAAACATTCACCAATCTTCTCAAGAGAACAGACCTCTGAAAACATAATAATTAATGCAGAATCACTGTAAGTAGTGTGCTTGTTGCTCAATTTAAGTTTTTGTAGGTGTTCCAAATCAGTGCAGTGGGATGAGATGGGTTAAGTTGTGCTTGAATGCTATATAATAGTTGGAAAATGTCCTCAGTGTGGAAAGATTGAAAAGACAAAGCATAGTACAACCTCAAGAATGGAAAGTTATACCCCATGTATGTATAGTATGTCAAGACATTATATCTAAAAGAACAAATTAAAAAATACACAAAAAGACAAGTATGTATAGAATATGATCCCAATTTATATATATATATGTATACGCACATAAAAGAGATACCTGAATGATCATATTGATAGTGTATTTGTAGATAATTTATAACTTTTCTTTAAACTTGAATTTCTGGCTCTCTGTCCCTCTGGAGATGGCCTGCATTCTCCCTGATGTATATCTACTTTCCCAAATAAGTCTATGTCTGTGAAAAAAAATTCCTTATTTCTTTTTATTGATTTTTTAAAAATAATGGACATATATGACTTTTATGAATTAATAAGTGAGCACTTTAATTATATAGCTAATTTTTTAATCTAAAAAACTATTAAACATTGCATAATATTGATAGTTTCAACTTCTCTCATAATGTAACATACATTATAGCACAAAAAAAAAAAATTTTTTTTAACCAGAGACTGAACCTAGGGGCACTTAACCATGGAGCCATATCCCATCCCGTATTTTTTGTTTTGTTTTTCTGGTGCTGGGGATTGAACCAGGCCTTGTGCATGGTAGGCATACACACTACCAACTGAGCTACATCCCCAGCCCTTGTTTTGTTTTTTGGAGACAGAATCTTGCTAAATTGCTCAGAGCCTCACTTTTTGCTCAGGCTGGCTTTGGACTCATGATACTCCCGCCTCAGCCTCCCGCGCTGCAGGGATTACAGGTATGCACCACACATCCAGCCTATACCAAAATTCTTAAATTTAAATGTTGAGTTTTATTTTAGCTTTTTAATGAAAAGATGGGTTATTAAAGGTCTTTTAAAAATGAATTGATTGTAAATATCAGTTTAAAGTTAAAACTGAACGTTTTGATTGGAGTTAATAATGCCTCTTGATACAGAATATATACAGTTGAATTGTACTGTTTTAGAAGATTTGTGATATGTGTTATTTTTTGAGTGCAGGAGACACTGTTTCCCAAAACGACTTTTCTTCTGAAACTCCTATCTCCTTGAACCTTTCTCATCACATCTGCAATCCCACGTAAGTTTTTATTTTTTCAGCCTTTATGATACTTTTTATGTGCTTTTTCTTTCAGTCGGTTCTGCAGGTTAAAATACAAAATAAGGATGCAGGACAGTAAAACCTGATTATATTAATAATTCAGAAAGATTGATCCTTCTAAGTAAACACAATTCACATGGCAGTCTCTGGTGTCACTGCCTTCTCAGTAATAGAGAAAATGTGTTGTTTCGGAAAGAGAAAGAGGAGGCAGGAGTTACTATAATGCTGGGAGCCATCTGCCCTTTGCTAAGACTTGAAACAAAGCCAAGCATTGATAATTCAGAGGATTTTTAAGAACCTAGTAGAACTCACACATTTACAACTCCTCTGTATGATGTGTTCTGCAGCATTGGGCAAGTATAAAAGTATAAACAACTCTAAATGTCCCTCTGTGTGCTCAGGGGATTGGTTCCAGGACTCACTCCCCTGGGACACCAAAATCTGGGTATGCTCTGGACTCTTAGATAAAATGATGTGTGTTTGCATATAACCTGTGCATATCCTCCTGTGCACTTTAAATCACCTCTAGATACTTGTAAAACTTAATGCACTGTAAACAGGTGTTGGAACGTATTGTGCAGGCAATAGTGACAAAGAAAAAAGTCTGCACGCATTCAGGACAGGCATAGCCATCACAGGCCTTGTGATGCCTGAGCATCTTCCTGCATAACCCTCAACAACAATATATCTTCTTCCAAATATTTTCAACCCGTGGTCAGTTGAATCCACACATGGGAACCCGTGGATTTGGAGGGCTGATGGACCTTTAATGGTTGAGAGAACAGGGTAAACCGGGAGAGAGTTTCAGAGTGGCAGGTGTAACCAGGTTCCCTGGGCACCTGCCTCCTGAGGACGGAGGGATGTAACTAGATGGGTGATGTGAAGAAGGAAACGCAGCTATCGGCCAGCCCAAGGAAGGCGCCGTGAACTTTCAGTTAGAGGTAGAAAGTCAGTTCTGGACTAAGAATTGCTGCTGTCTGGCAGGAGGCAGACGGAAGTGGCAGGTTGCCTTAGTCACTTTGGTTAAGTTTTTATTGTTTCATAAAAGCAAAACTTTGTGAGATCTCGGGAATTTAGTTCTCTCAGCTCTGCTGTACTTTTTGGTCTACATGATATTTTTGAGAGAAAGAATTCATGTAAAACTTCCGTTGGTCTTGGTTGTGAAATTTCAGTATGTTCTTACACAGGAAACTCAGCAGTGCCTTCTTTGCTTGCCCCACAGAGACGTGAGTAACGTCCCACAGTACCCAGAGCCCTCCCAGCCCGGCCTTCCTGCTGGATCTGCAGGTGCTGAAGAAGACAAAGGTGAGGCACAGTACCCCCGGGGCCAGCCTTCCTTGCTCCAGAACTTGAGGAGACCAAGCAGGGGGCAGAGTGGGAGTGGGGGTGGGGTGGCATCTCCAAGGTACACTTGGAATCACGGGGGAGGCGCCAGCTTTGCAGACGGGCAACATCAGGGCCTCTGCCCTTGCCTTGTTGGTGTCTTCTGACCTTCTGCACTAAACCCTCTCTGTGTAGCTGAGGCAGAGCTGTTCCAGCCCCGCCGCTGGGTACAGTCGGAGCCCCTTGCCAGGGTCCACTGCTCTAGTCAGAGATGAGAGAGAACAGAAGGGCCCAAGAGAAGTGAGGCCCACTTGGAGAGCAAGCCAGGGGTGAGGCTTCCACACTCCCACCTGCTTCCCCGTTCCCTGGCCCTCTCCTTTTCCTGCCCCCCACTCACATTGTATTTAAAAAAAAACCCCAAACCTGTTAATCTAGCCTCAGTGCCCAGGTGACCAGCCTTGTTCCTGCACAAGGCCTGAAGCCAAGAGCTGAGCTCCCCGAGTCTTGGGGAGGACGGAGGCCTTGGAGTGTGGGAGTAGGGTGGGCAGAAGGAAACCTCTCCTCCAACGGGGGTTCATTCCCGATGCCCCTTGGTTTCCCTCTCCTTTACCCTGCTCTTCACCTTTCTTTGTGCCTTTAGTCTCCTCTCATTCTGGGGCTTCTTCCTTGCCAAGTCAGGCTCGGGGATCCTGACAGGATACTCCTGGTGTCATTTAGCTTTAACACACATACTTGCTTCTGCTCGGACAAATGAAAGCTGGATGTAAAATCTGCTCTCTCCATTGGAGAATTTTTATTTGGAAATACAACGCCTCTGTGCTGTTCCTTGAATGGGTTTTCCACTTGTCACATGATCAGCAGAAACAAATTATTTGTAAATTGGATCAAATGACGAGTCCAGTAAAGTAAATGTTTTTAATAAAAGGGAAATCTAAAATTGAATGGTTTGTAATTTGCTAAGGCAAGAAGAGGGGAGGTTTAGATGGTCCTATGTTTGTTTCTATGAGGTAATTGAGGAAAGAGAGGATTTGATTAATGGCAGGGAACTAAAAATTCAAAACAGACACCTGGGGCTGGGGGTGTAGCTCGGGAAGAGCACATGCTGGCTTCACTCCTTGGCACCAAAACCAAATCCAGAAACCCTTTACTGAACTCAGTTTCTGGTTTTATTGTCAACTAGGGGGATGTGTATGTACTCTGGTGTTGTGATGCATGCGTATGTGTGTGCCCAGTGCCTTAACCCGCTCCTCCTGCATAGCCAGTACCTATTACACCTGGTCAGCTGTGTCCATCCCTAGTTAGGTCCTGAAGTCACAGAAAAACAGCTTTTGCCTACAGTCTTCTGCCTTCATAGCCTTGGCCCGTCCCTCCCAGCTCTGCAACTCCCTTCTCATCTGGCAGAAGTGCCCTGACCCCCAGGTGCAGTGGTTTCCCTGACTCTTCTCCCTTCCTTGCAGTCGAGCTGCAGAACCCCTGCCTTGACACTCCGTTGCCTCTGTCTCATTCTCTTGGTCGATCTTGCTTTCTGTCTTACTGGAAAGAGAAAAGCAATTCGAAACCTTTCAGGAAGCTCCCACACCCCTCCACACGCCCTACCTCGCTCCCTTCTCTGCTCCCCTCCTGTTGCAGCCTGTGGAGTTGTTGGTGCCGTTCTCCTGTCCAAAGCTGATGTCTTCTCATCAGTTTTGTCTTCACAGGTCACTCCCATACGCTCAAAAATATGCCGTAAGAATCCAGCAATAGCCCAGACCCCTTCTCCCCACTCATTTCAGTCACTGCTGCTCAACTTCTCAGCTCCTGTTCTTAGGGCACTCCTCAAAAGAACGGCCGGTGCCTGCCAATTCAGGTTCTTTTCCTCCCGTGCTCCGTAGAAGCCCTCAATCCAGCTCTTGCACTGCTGCTGGGCCCTGGTGTTTCCCCATGAAGTCCCTGGCCAGCTCTGACTCTGGTCTCCGTGTCACATGCTGTAGGTTCCTGATTCAGTGCCTCCTCACCTCCTCTCATGATCACGGCCCCCCAGAGCATCATCCCTGTACCCCTTGTGGATCTCACCTATTTTCAAAGCTTTAAGAGTCACTCTCTACCCTGAGAACTCCCACATTTGTGTCTGCCACCTGGGTCTCCCTGGAACTCTGGCATCATCATTGACTGCCAGTTTGACATCTTTTCTGGGGGTTCCAGCAGGTACCCCACATTTCTTGATCATCTCCCTCAGAACAGCTCTCCTTACAGTTTTCCAATCTTTCTGATTATTCAGGTCCCACATCTGGGAGTCATCCCGGACTTTGCTTTCTTGTGTCTCAGATATGCTGCAGTCTTACTCTGTCAGCAGGCCACCTTCCAGACACCCCAGCGTCTGCTCACTGCCCACCACCTCCACCATAGTTATCCAGGCCATCCCTACTTCCCACTAGTATGATCACAGTAGCTTCCTAACAGGTCTCCCTGCTTCTACCCTGTCCCCATTGTTAACACAGAGGCCGGAATGATTGTGCTAAACACAAGTCAGATCACTTCACTGGCAAGAGGCTCAAAGCCTCTGAGGTTCTTCTGCTACTTTCAAGTTCACAAGTTAGCTGCTGACATTTGTGTGAGCTGGCAAAAGACAAAAGCCACCTGGGTCCAAGACAGAAGGCTAGCCCAGGAGGCTGCATGAGCATCAGCATGTTCACGTCCTTGCCCCCAGTGCCATGGGGGTGACAGACAGGAAAGGAACCCGAGTCTTTTACCATGGGCGGGAGGCATTGTCTTTATTTTAGTAGACATTAAGCATACTTGCCCTTGTTCCAACAGCAGATATTTCCTTTATCTTTGAGGCTTTGCCTAAAAGCATTCTTGGAAACATAGGCCAGAATCGAGGGGTTTCTGTTGGCACACAGTACAGAAGCATAGAGACGTGTCTTATGATATGCACACTTCTTGTTTCTATGTGTAGCCTTGGCTCCTGATTTTCTCCTGAGTGCATTGTTCTATTAGCAATTCTTTTTGATTTTTATTCTTATTTGTAGATGGACACAATGTCTCTATTCTGTGTATTTATTTTTATGTGGACGCTGAGTATCAAACCCAGGGCCTCACATGTGCTAGGCAAGCATTCTACCATTGGGCGACAACCCCAGCCCCAGCAATTCTTAATTAATCATAATTAAACAGAAGGTGGGATCAAGTCTGTCTGATTTGTCACTTACAACATTATAGCAGCTGCTATCAACAGGATTCTAAGCAGCAGAATGAAACCACCTGCTGTTTTGACTTCAGTGTGCCCCAGAGAATCCAGCCCCATCCAGCTGAACAACTCCCATAAACCCCCGAGGTCTACTTAGGAAGCCAGGTGGCTGGCTCTGTAAGCCATTTCTGCATTGGCCTTCCCCTTGGCAGGAGGTGGCACTCTGGTTTAGCAGAGTATGTTTATGATGGCACAGATTCCCTCTTGGCCTGCAGGAGGGCAGCGCCATCATCCCTGACATCTCTGGGCAGAGAGATGCCTTCCAGGGTCAACATGGTATCTTTGATCGCTTTGGCCTGGCCAGTACCAAGGGCAAATGCTGTACCACCTTTGGTTTTTGGTTTTTAAAGTTAGGGTGTCACTGTGTTGCCCAGGCTGACCTCAAGCTCCTCCTGGGTTTAAATGATTTCCCACTTCAGTCTCTCAAGCCTCTGGGATTATAGGCATGTGCCACCGCAGCCAGCTAATGCCACTCTTCTAGTTGGATGGACTTTGTCTCATGGTGATTACTACTCAGGCATGTTTAGGAGCAGGAAGTTGTCCCCAGGGCAGCCTCATTTTTGAGCAAGCATCGTCATATGTAGGCTGCATCGTCCGTTGGTGGTATTTCTTCAGATGCCCAGAGGTCTCTCAGACTTACCCCCAGGGAGCAAATCTCTGTTTTGGGGAGGGAGGCCAAGTTCCTGCCTGGCTTCCACACAAGAACAATCCTGGGGCGCTTGCGTAGTCCTGGAAGGAGAGCGCTGTTCACAGTTGTTGGACTTCCTCGGCTGGGACCTTCATCAGTCAGAGCGCAGGTAGACCGTGTCTCCAGTGTGGTCAGCAGCGGTCACAGTCCAGAAGGCCACGGTAGCCAGTGGCCACAGCGGAAGCGTGCAGTCCTCCCCTCTGTGGGGGTGGACCCAGCAGCAAGCATGGCAGTCTGGGTGGGGCAGACTCCACCGGTGGCTAGATTCCACCTGGTCTGAGCAGAGAATGGGCCCCAACAGGGGGCCTCTATTTCAGGGGCCTGGAAGTATAATGAGAAGCCAAAATTTGTTTCTGCATTTCACAGTCCAAAGAGTCCTTTTTATTTTTGTATTAAATTGGAACTATTTTTTTTATTTGAGGTTTTTTTTTTTCAGATCCTGGATTTCTAAATCTATCATGGAACAACCACAGGATTGGGAACATTGGTTCTGAGATAGAACCATTTGCTGATGAGAAAGTCCAATTCCAACCGGGGAAATTTACCCTGAGTCCAAGTCTTTTCAGTTTAGTGTTACAACTACCACCTAGAAAAATAAATCCAAGTACCCATCTGGGTTGAAGGAAAAAAGTTACTTATGACTTCAAAAAATGGGACTATGTAATCTAAAATTCCAGAAGAATCAAATGGTGCTACATAAGACATTTTTGTTTCTTAGGAAGAAGGAGTTATATAGAAACTTCTAATTTTTTCCTTCTACTCTCTGACCAAAGTCAAAGGCAGGTCATGCTCTAGGGTCCATCACACCTTCTTAACTAAAAAATCTATTCGTGCTACTTTTCTTCCAGCTTTGGCCACATGGAAAACTAACTCTACTGTGCTATGTGACTTCACAAAAAAGGGTGAATAAAACTGTAGAACAGCAGCCTCTCATCTTGGGAAGGTGGATAGGGTTCCATCATGGACTCACACTGGGCTTGCTTTGACCATTCTTTCAGTTAAATGTAAGCATGCATTTACAGGGTTAGCTGCTACTCAATCTGCTCCTTCTACATATATCTCTATATGTAGAAATAAAAATAGCAAACGTTCCAAGACTTTTGAAAAAGTCAACAACAGCTTCTTTCTCCAGGAGAAAAATCCCTGTTTTCATCCAAAAATGTGGATTTACATGTGTGAAAATTTACACATGTGAAAATTTATGTCACAAAATGTATTGGACATGAAATCAATCTTGGTATCTTGTCTTTATGCTTCTTCACCACATCAAAGGGTTAACTGCAGGCCTGGGGCTGTTCAGTGGTAGAGCGCTTGCCTTGCATATGTGAGCACTGGGTTCAATCCTCAGCACCACATAAAAAAATAAAGGCATTCTGTCCATCTACAACTCCGAAAAAAAAAAAAAAAAAAGGATAGTAGGGGTTAACTGGAAAACTGGACCTTTGTTTCTGTCCAGTAAATTTATGTCACAAAATGAACAGAATTTATGTAACTTTCTAACATCTCTTTCTTTTCAAATTACAACAAATATTTGGAATTTACTGCTGCAATCTCAGATTTGCTTATCATAACAGTGGCTGAAACTGGAACACATTTTTTAAAAACCCTGAAGTCATCCACACTTGCCATTTATTCGTTGTCTTGTTTGGAGCAAAAGGCAAAGTATTCACAAATACCATGACCTAAGCACCTGTTTCAAATTAAACCTCAGCCTTCTGCTTGCAAACATTTTTTTGATAATTAAGCAAATTGCAGAACACCCGTATCAGTCACTTTTTACTTCCTGGAGAAGTCAGTAGGATAACTGCATCCTAAGGGCTTCTTTCTGTGTTGAATGTGAAAGGTGGAACAAAAGAAAAGCATCGTTTCCATCCCAGACCATGGAGGTAAAGTGTAGCTTTCCCTGTGGTGATGTGTATCCATCCCTATTTCAGTTAGGGGAAGTGGCTGGATGAAAGAAGCAGGTCTGCCCGCTCTAGAAGATAACAGAGAAGTACCTGCCCTGTTCTGAGTTCAGAATTTTGTTTTGAGATGAACATAAAAGCACCTAGATGAGGATTCTCGCATGGTCCAGCAGATGCAATCGGCTTCCCAGGGCCCTGCTTGCCCCCTGCCCAGAGGCCAAATGGCCAGGTGAGTGAGGCAGCCCTCACTCTGCCGTCTATGGCTTTAATCTGCCAGTCTGTGGCTTCAAGTAGCAGGCTAAACTGTTAGGACCATTGCAGTGAAGTCTCTTGTGAAGACATGAGGTTTCCGCTAAATCCAAACATGAGTGAGCCAGGCCTGGGCATCTGGGGAACCTCAGGGAATGGAGGGCCCCACTGAGCCAGCAGCTTTGCCTCAGATGGCAGAGTGGGCACCAAGTTTACCCAGAGGGACGGCGGCCATTTATTCCCATAAAGCACAAACGTAGGTAAGGCCAAGCCAGCTACACGGGCATCCGCCTGTTGGCGCCAGCTGTCATCAGCCCCAGGTGGATGCCTCCGTGTGGTGGGCGCGAGTTACAGGAGAGGAGCCTGAGCTTAGGGAACCCAGGTCTTGTAAGGGGCAATAAGCTTGCCTGCCCTTTGCCTACATCCCCCAAGGTTTTCGCTTAGCAAAAATCCTTGAAAAGATCGTCCAGAACAGAGGCCACCAGCACTTCCACTACACCGAAATGGGAGAACCCCGTGGGGCCTTGTGTCCTGCAGCCATGCTGCCTAGGACCTCCCGTGGCTTCCCATAGACTCCAAGGCAGTGCCCAGATCCAGATGCTTCAAGGGGCCGTAAGCTGTGTCCTCACCGTCAGTTCTCTAGCCTCACCCCCCATCCTCATACCCTCTTTTTGGCCACACTGGTCCCCTTTCTCTGGAGACTCACCGGGCACACTGCTTTAGGGCCTTTGTAGACTGTCCCCACCGCGGGGCATGTGATTCCCCTTACCTGAGTGACTCCTTCCCTGTCCTCAGGCACATCTGCAATGGGGTGTTCCCTCAGAGGAGCCTTTGACTGTCCTAATTAAAATTGCCGTTTGTCATCATAGTATGTGGACCTCTGCCATGCCGTGCTTGTTTTTTCTTTTCTGTTTATCTCTGTTCACTTGAATGCACTTGTTCATGGCTGCTTCCTGGTATCTGTAATGGGGCCTTACAGAAAGTGAGCCCCCTCATACCTGCTGAGTAGTGAACGCACGGTGTCGTCCAGGTTGGGAGGAAATCGTGCACCACCTGAAGCAAAGATCAAAGTGACATGCTATATTTCAGCATGTATCCTGAAATGACCCCAGAAGGGGTCTGGGAAGGCACAAGTAGTCAGTATGCGTGGGTGGTATGGGGTAGTATTTTCTGGAAAGTCGACACGTTGAACTGGGTGTTAGAGGATGGATACCTAGGGCTGAGTGGAAGGTGGACTGAGGGCCTTGTTCTCTTCCGTAGGTCTGTACCCACCCGGAGACTTGTGGCCCCCACAGCCAGTGTGTCTGACAAACGGCCTGAGCTGTACTTTGGAGAACAGGGCACCCGGAGTGCTGCAGGAGCCCGCCCCGGTCCACAGCAGGTGCGCTTCCCCCCCCCCACTGCCGCCCCACTGAGCCCAGGGCTCCCAGTTGGAATATGAGTTGTCTGCTAGGAAGTCCCTATAAATATTAGGGGGCAGCTGCTACTTCAGGGGACTTCAGCTGTGTGTTTTCTCCTGCCTTTTGGAATTGTGGTGTTAGAAAACAAGAAGCCAGGCATTGAGAGAAACCGGAGTAAAAGCTGGTGGCCCTGTCATGACTTTCCTTTTTTTAAATTGAAATGGTGACCTGTTCATACGGGAGGCAAATTTGAAAGACACACGCTCCATCCCTGCCCCCTCAGCAAGAGACTTCCATTTTTCCAGAGCATCACTCTTGAACACATTTAAAATTTGAAAGAATCAAAGAACTTGAATGTCAAAAAGTAGTTGACACAATACTAACTTCTTAAATTCACCGTTTGGTGTGAATGTCACTCAATTTGGGAAACTTGAGACAATGTTGATATTTCTGTTTGATCACAGAACTCATGGAAGGTTTTGGGGTCAGCCTATTACAACTGCCTTTACTGTCTCGTTTCTGTAACGAGAGCCACTCAGCAACTGTGATCCACATATTGTGAGCTGCAGTGTTTATAGGGGTGACTGCCCTGAGCCGGTCCTGCTGGGAGTGGGAGGAGGACGTTTCAGTAGCTGAGTCCTCTGGGTGTGTGTAAGAGTCATTTTTTTGCGGGGATAATAAAGCCTGGGCCTTGGGCTCTGTGTCTGTCTAGACTTGACAAACATGGTGATAAAGAATTGCACACCTTGCCAGGGCCATGCGTCCTGCAGAAGGCAGGCCATTGGTGACGACTGTTCAGTAAGTCTTAGGTTCTATGACTGGAGAAAGTATCATCTTTTATTTTCCTAAATTGGGGAATTTGCAGGTATGAGGATGCTGGGAAATGAAATGATTCTCCTCTCTGACTATCTAATTTTCCACTTGACTCTTCTCATCCCGATTCTGAAACCAGCCGTCTTGTGTTTTGTAGCAGTTTCATCGACTGGAGCGCGACTTGCGAGGGCCAGTTTCCCAGTGTGTACTGCCCGTTGGAACTGAACGATTACAATGCCTTTCCAGAAGGTAAAAGCTGGAACCGTCCCAGTGACTTTATCTTATGTGGCCCTCAGAAATTCTCAGTCTGGGGGCTTCTGCATGTCACCCTATTCTGTTTAGTTCTCTAAATAAGGTAGAACGGGGTCATTTGTACTTATGTGGCCCAAACAGGATGGATGGTTTGTTGGATGGCTGGGGCCCTGGTTGTTTGCTGGTTTGTTTGTTTTTGGGGAGGCAGGTCCCCTATGAAATAGAACCTATTTATTTGTTCTTCCATGTCCTGAGGGACTTGCCCCTGGGGGTGGTGCTACAAAAGGAAGGAAAGGAGCTTGGCAAGGAAATCGGGGACACTTGTAGACGTGGGGTCTGAGGCTTCTGTCATAATAAGGAAGAGGTGTGGGATTTCCTCCATCACCTGGAAAATGCTCTGATTCTCGATGACAGCCTCATCACGGTTTTTCCTGCTAGAGCTGCCTTTTCCAGGAAGGGCTGTGGGGACACGCAGTGCTCTTTGCTAACCACAAGGGGGTGCTTTGGTAACTTTCTTCCTGGGTGTGTGAGGCTTTGTGTTTACTATTTTGTTGATGTCTAAGTAGTTGGCTCCCACTTGCTTTACCAGGCCTTGTGGTTCATGGGCAGGTGGCTGAAATTGGCACAGCAGGTGATTTTTTTTTTTTTTAACTGGGGGAGTGTGGCTTAATGGTAGAGCACTTCCTACAGTGAGACTCAGCATCACCAAAAACAAATCACAAAGAACTGTTTAAGGGGCTCAGTGGTAGAGCGCTTGCCTGGCCTGTGTGAGGCACTGGGTTCAGTCCTCAGCACCACATAAAAATAAATAAATAAATAAAGGCGTTGTGTTCATGTACAACTAAAAATATTAAAAAAAAGAACCATTTAAGAACTGGTAAGAATCTCGTCACTGTTCAAATCTATAGTAATATTTGAAGTGTGCTTTGTGTGTTAAAAAGATTACCATCAAATACAGAAAAACAGGACCCAAGAAGCCTTTCCCCACCGAGGGCTCCACAGGTGGTGCGTCTCGTAGACAGGTTTAACCTTGAGACTGACAGTGCAGTGACCCCCTGGTCCGTCCACACAGAGCTAAGTAACGTTTGTCTCTCACTTGGCGGTAGAGTAAGACCTTGATGTCTTTTTGCCTCAGACGGAGAATTCAGTTCTGTGAAAATGTTCACCCGTGTTGCTGTCTCTCCTATTCTTGTAGAAAACATGAATTATGCCAACGGCTTTCCTTGTCCTGCAGAAGTTCAGACCAGTTTTATCGATCACAATTCTCAGTCGACCTGGAACACCCCACCCAACATGCCTTCCACCTGGGGACACGCCAGTTACGTCAACTCTCCGGTAGGGGCAGCTCTGGGTCATTTAATCCTCCTTTAATCCTGTAGCGCAGCGTTCAGTTCAGCCAAAGCTTGGCCTGTTTTAGATCACAGAAGCCCCCTCTGGCCACCCTCTGGAGGAGGCTAACATGGGGTCAGACGGGTGGGCACCTGCAGAGCGTGACACTGAAACAGAGTCCTCTCAGACCGCCTCAGGCAGAGGTCGTGGATGACCTCTTGTCGCTGGGGCGAGAAAGGCCCCGTGTGACACAGCTGTCTTTATGTGTCCTCACTGCCCCTTTCCACCGTGGTACAAGATGCAGTGAAAGTCCCAGGAAGGTCAGTCAGGGACTGATAGGTGAAAGGGCCCAATACCTACCTTTTTTTTTTTTTTTTAAATGAATTTATGGAGGGCATTTGGCTGTGAGTCCTTCCTTAGATTGCAAGTAAGCTTATCCAGTTAGGTGAGGATTTCACAGCAGTTCTCTTTGAGCAGAATGGAGTAGAAGGTAATTTCCAGGTGACAGGGTTGATGGGTGGCTATGTCCTCGGGTGCTGATTCAGCCTTGACGTTGCCTCTCTGCAGCTTCTTTTTGCTTTAACCTTTCCTTCCCTCCCTTTATACCCCAGCCCTACCTCACCAGCACCCGAAGCTTGTCTCCAATGTCTGGACTGTTTGGTTCTATCTGGGCCCCGCAGAGCGATGTGTATGAAAGTTGTTGCCCGGTCAGCCCCACCCCAGAACACTCGGCCCACATGGAAAGCCAGGCGGCGGTCGTGTGCAAGGAGTACTACCCAGGGTTCAACCCGTTCCGTGCCTACATGAACCTGGACATATGGACTTCCACAGCAAATCGGAACGCCAACTTCCCACTGTCCAGAGACTCGAGTTACTGTGGGAATGTGTGAAAAGAATTGGATTTTTAAACAATGTGAATAAAAAGGCTTGTGTTTTGATTACTAGCGTAAACTGGTTGTTGAGATAGATTGTGACATTGGCGGATATTTTGGCACTTTTATATGAAAAAATAAATTTTTTTATGAAATCTGGGTGCTCTATTTTTTTGTAGACCCTTTATAAATCAGTGGAAGAAGACTCGCCACCAAAATGTCGTGACTTTCACAGTCCAACAAATGTGTCAGGCATGGCCAGCATTTTAAATCAGAACAAGGGAGACTTCCAAGAAGGTTAAGGGTGGAGAACGAGTGACTTGCATGGGTTTCCCCTCCCTGAGCGCCCAGGGAGCTTTCAGAACATGGAGGGGCACATTCTCAGAATTTCTGACTTAATTGGTCTGTGGCTCAGGCGATCAGGATTTTCCCAAAAGTTCTCCATGGATTGTCACCTGCAGCCAGGGCCGAGCACTTGCCTGGTGGACACTGCTCAGGGCTGGAGGAGTGCTGGCCTCTCCCTGGGGCTGCCGGGTCTTGGCTGCTGGAGTAAAG